GCTTGTAGTGCATTGCCATACTCGCCACCAGGGGCATTCACCTCTGCGCCATACTCGAGGAGAAGACGCACAACCGATTCGTTTCCCCGAACAGCAGCTGCTTGTAGTGAATTGCCATAAGGGCCACCCTGAGCATTCACCTCCGCTCCACGCTCGAGGAGAAGCCGCACAACCAATTCGTTTTTCCCATATGCAGCTGCTTGTAGTGCATTGCCATGATTGCCACCCTGAGCATTGACCTCCGCCCCGCGCTCGAGAAGAAGACGTACAACCGATTCGTTTTCCCTGTATGCAGCTGCTTGTAGTGCATTTCCATACACGCCACCCTGAGCATTCACGTCCACTGTATCCGCTTTTCTATTGACTAGGGATTTACTGGCCGTCACTAAATTTAACAAGCAGGAATAGTAGATTGCTGGTGGGTAAACCGCGGGGCCAGGGGAGTGGAACTGGTAACGGCCATCAGGATTAAATATATCTAGCCACTCTCTGCCAAGCTCGAGAACCTTCACCACCGCGTCGGAGAGTGGTTCGGGTGCCGTATCTTCGATAGATCTGGTATACACAAACCAATAGCGAGCACTGTGGTAGAGAAATGATGTTTCTTTGACTTCCTCCCCGCCTATAGTACCTTGTACACTATGTCGCAGTATTCGACTGAGACAAGCATGTCCCATCAGTAAATTGGCTTTATCCTCCGAAATATGACAGTAGGCACTGGGGGCCGCGGCTGCCCGGTCGGAGATCAAATATTCTTTTACCGAGAAATGCGCTAGTCGTAATCTGCGGTTTTCCTGGGAGGAGGATTCATCGTCCCTGGTATCCTCGAAGGAAATGAGACTAGGGCAAATGCTCATGAGGGAGCTCATGCTGAAGAGTGGTTTAGAATCCTCGCCATATTTATCAACATCGTACTCGATCCGGACAGCCTCCGCAAGCTGACTCAATGTCAATGGCTGCGCTGAGAATGTGAGCCAGTGCATCGCTCGCTGAATGTATATCCTTTGCATCCCATCGATGCTCTCCAGGATTCTCGCATAGACAGAATCCAAGTCTTTAGGCAATTCCTTCAACGCGGCTTTTACGTCGTCTGGTGCCATACATGTTTCCAGAATTCGTAAGAGACAATCCACCCATCTAAACCTTAACATGCCCACCATTATATCAGCGCAAGTTGATGATTCAAAAGTTGAGCATAACTTACATTCCCTGTGAACCCGTAACGAGTGTTTCCTCTATCTCACTCTTGATTTCTTTAGTGAATGCCCGGAATTCATCCCTACTATCTAGGGAGTCCCGGATATAAACCCGGATATCTGGATCGATTGTTTTGGACTGCAAGGGTATTGAAAAAGTGGAAAGAGGTTCCACAGATCTTACTATATCGGCCTCGGGACGACTAGTAATGAGAATGGAAAGCGATTCCGGATTGTGATCGGCAGTTAGCTTCGCGAGCCAAGATAGGAGGCCCTTCCGCTCGGACTTGGGAACTTCGTCCAAGGCATCCAAAATAATAAACGTCTTCCTAAAACCTTTTATAATCTGCGACAATAGATCTCTCAGAGCCTTGATATCTGCAGACTTCCCAATTGCCTTGGTGCTATTATACAGGTCTACAGCCTCACCCGGCAAACCGCGATCTGCAGGCCTTTTTGGAAGTTGGCCAATAAGGGACAGAAGCATATTGGACAATTTCTGCTTCTCGGAGTCGCTGAAGGTGAAGTAGAAATAGGCCAATGCGTGGTCATCGCTAGCCTCGCACAGATTTTCGATATCTTCAATAGCAGTGGCACTAAAGGGCGAGTTAGTAATAAAGAAATCATATTGCAACTCCAAATACCCGATTAAGTTCGCACCTTAGGACACTCTTGCCACATCCGGCTAGAAGGCACAAATGTTAATGACATTCTTTGAAGCATAAGGATTCACTTGTATCCAGACTTACGTATGCCATGGAGCCAGAGAACCCCCCCTCTGCCTTCCTTCCAATTGATGTAATCGGATCCCTCGAGCAACCAATTCCCGGTACCGGTTGCACGAACTCCAAGTGCAGATGAATAATTGGAGGCTGGGTCAACGACGTTAAGCCACTTCTGTACTTCCTGTAATTTATTCTCTAGGGTTTTAGGAAAATCTGGTATTAGTAAAAAAAAAAAGTCGCAGGGTTAGGGAAAATGTGGCCAAGTACCATCTAGTTTTCGTAACACCTTTGTTACCGTCTTCCTAAACAACCAGTTAGCCTTGCCGCCAAAACGAAAAGGAAGCGGAGAAGTCAGATTCTAAGGGGATTGAAGAATGTATAACCTACGTTGTGGCTGTGGATAGCAAGAGATGAAGTTTCGATCTCTGCTCTTCAACCAAGCCCAGGTAACGTTCCATTTTGGGTTTGCTAAAAGGCCAAAGGAACTTCCTCGAGGATTTCCTCCATTCCGGAACATCTAACTTTTTCTCCAGCTCCTCGAGGGCTCTCTTATAATCTTTCAAACTTTGATTTTTCGTCCATTCCAGAAGCTCAGGGTATAGCGGATTGTTCTCGTCGCCTTGTGCAGCAAGACTTCGCACTTCGCCCAGCTGTCGGTCGATACCCCTAATCTCGTCCCCCAGTTTCTTGAAGTCTTGTTGGCTCTCCTTGACTACATTGCAGTAGTCATCGCAAAGCTTGTAAACCTTCACGCCGAGGTGAATGAGGGCAATGCCACTGGAAGCCAGAGAGAAGGGCTCTGCCATTTCTTTGCTCAAGGGATGTTTTAGGCCTAAGAGGGAAAGTGTAAACGTGCGGCTGTGATAGATCGCTATCTTTCGGGAACGGGGGATAAACGAAAGGCGTCGTTCGGTCCTGACGTGGGCGGTCCGTGGAGGTTCAGGCACTTTTGAGCTATGCTTTTCAAGAGTGCGTTCGGGAACGAGGAGGGAGACAGCAACTACTTTTCGGGGGTGCTTTTCCGATTAATACCTTAAGATTTCCAGAGCGGGGCTCCAAAATGCCAGCGCCCACACACAAGGGCGTCAACTGCATACCTGGCCGCCACCAGCACAACTGCAAGCCAACCAGCATTCGAGCAGACCAACTTCCGTGCTCACATTTTCGGCACGGATCGAATTTCGTTCCCTGCATTGGTTTTGATGGAAGCACAGTGCATGCTGTACGATACGGTAAAACTCTTTCGATCCACTATCTCCAGCACGGTATCATCCCACAATAGGTTTAGCTTGACATGTTAACAGGATTGCGAATACCGGTTAGCGAGATCCAACTCGTCAGTGGGCTGATCTTTTGCTATTCCAGGGAAATGGTAGTCTTTCTTGGGGGTTTCTGTGGCGCAATCCAAGGATTACAGAGTTCTGACGGGGATAGTGGATCCCAAGAGTTTTTACGGGACGATGATAAGATAATGTGCTTGCTACAGATCCCGCTCAGCAAGGGAAAGCGTCACAGACCATTTTTCATGTCGCACTCCGGGGATGGCTACAGTACCGTAGTGCATCACACTCCCCTCGTGGGGCCGCATTTGTTTGGGCACCCACGAAGCTACCGGTACTCGAGTAGTGACCGGCGGGCCAATCAATGGGCGCTAGGCAGACCAGCGTATCCCATATACTGTACTCGTACACGAGTATATCGTGGATAATAAGCCGTAGTGTACGGTGCCGGGCTAGCCTTGTGGGGACATGGGGAACCCTTCCTCGGGGTGCTGTTGATCAAAAGTGTCCGGTATTCCGTCAGAAGCTTCAAAGGATAATACTTCATAATGTAAGCGTATAATTTTAGGGGTAGATCCATCCCACCTCCTCCTGCAATGGCCTGCAAGCTCATATGCGGTACCCAGTGCCGGGATCTTGAGTGCAGCAACAAAGTGTGAAAGGCCACATTTTACTTTGCTTTTCTACCATACCGTATTACCAGTGGTGCTGCCCGGCATGAGTTCGCTATTGGTCCGTCGATCGTCTCTCTACCGGTATCTGGGTGTCCAGCTTCAAATCGGCCATCCAAGCGCTCATGTACCCGTGTTGCACCCTCGAAATGGTACTGCTTGATCTAGGGGCACCAGTACGAGTACAATGCTCGGGCACAGTGCTTGTACGGGTAGGGGAGGGTGGGTTCCCCAGGGCGGTAAATCGTAGTATTTGGTCCTAACCCACTGGCAATTGGCATCAGGTCTGCTCGGGCAGGGGATTATGCACGGTAGTGTCCGTAAAAATCAGGAAACAATGTCTTCCGACATAAGCAAGTCCCTTGGGTGCCTCCACTACCGATAACTCACGCAAGATGATTCCTACAGACACCCGGGTTGGAGCAGATTCGATTGTCTTCACAGGTCTCTCCCATGGACAGACATCCCTGGCCCCGCCTTGCACAGGGAAGTCGCCATGAACCAATCAACCCTCATAATCATCAAGCGCCAATCGCGCTTCAGAGGAGCACAATTTAGAAGAACCCAGCGATGATATGAACAAGTGCTTTCTGCCCAGCGCCATACCGGCAAGCGTGATGAACTACCGGTACCGTATTGTCCCCGCACACAGAATTCGATATGGCGTGGTGAACGAGGGACTGCGCCGGGCACGCCGCATCCCTGTGCGGAGGTACCGCACCTAAGCTCGGTGTGTTCCGCAGGGAGTCAGGGGAGCAAACCTCGCTTATGGAACCTATGATAATGCAGAACTTGGGGACTGTACTCGAGTACTCGTACTCGTACTCGGGTACCTCCGCAGGCATCCAACCAACCCTGTGCGGCTCCGGAGCCCTTCAATTTCTCGGGGTTGAGCTTCTAGTGGAAGTAATCATTTGATCTTTTTGTTACCGTACATGGCTGTGAAGCCTCTACCGGTATTTCTCACTCGATCGCCGCCTCCAACGATTTTCCCTCTATCCTCTGACTCGCCTTCCCTCTCTCTCAAGGCCCTGATTGAGATTGTGAAAACACTGCCAAGTACAGCGCGCCCTCCCAACCGGCAGATTTTCCGAACGACCAGACGAGGCGCCGACAGTGACTGTGTGGACGCGTTTCCCGGGATTGTTCGCTCGTCGACCGTCCGGGTTAGTCGAATTCTTTCCCTTCATCTACGTAGGAAAGCTCTCGAGGCTCAGGCTAGTTCTCCAACCGATGGAAAAAAATCTCCTGACAAACATCAACACCGGGAACGTCCAAGCAAGGGATAACGCTAGCTTTCATACCCCGATCCCAGATTTCCTTTTGCACATACTGGCCTAGGTTCCTCCATGCTGGAGAGTATTGGACATTGCTTCTGCTTTCACTTCTAGGTTCGCTCAGATACGATCAAGGGCACCATTGAGACTTATGCCAGCTTCTGTCGCGCCCTTTCTTATAGCATCTAGTCCTTGTCTCTTCTGTTCATATCCGGCTCTTGTCCTCCCCCACGCACCTAGCTCTCGATTGTCCACCTTCGGCTCCGACCTCTCCTATCGCATTCCGCCACTCGCCACCCGATATTCATGCCTGGCTTTCTAACCTTCTCAAAAGTTCGCAGTGCTGTCTGTAGTTATCGGTTAGTAGCAGAATTCTCTCTGCGCGCTCTGCTGCCGAATGAAAATGTGCCTGGCCTGGGGCCGTGTTGGTGGAGGTCTGGAGGGTTGTTCTATGTACAGTACCTTATTCTATCCAGGTAATACAGCACCTTATCAACGAACCTAGCTATCTGGTTTTTGCTGTCACCTCCTCCGCAGTTGCCTTCTGGTCCCGTTCCACTTCTCTCACTTTCCCCTCTCGCAAACCCCTTGACCTACTGTCGGTCGCTACCCCGGCCTTACGCAGCCTTCCGGCAAGGAGACGCGGCGAACTTCGTGGAAGCTGGCAGATATCACGGGAGTTGCCCCCTGCGGGACCTACGAGGCGTCTAGTCTTTCCCATATATGCTCCAGCGCGTTGTAGCATGATATATAATCGGGACCCACTAGGGCTTACCGCCCGCCTACTCCTGCCTCAGGGATGGGGAGAAGGGGGGATTGACCGTTCGGGATCCTGGATAGAATTTTCAACTCTGTTTTTCACTTTCTTTTCCTCATTCCTCGAAGCGCACGCACGGCACTATCTCATAGTCACGGGGAGGTTAGGCTGTTCCTATTTCCACGACACGTCCGCAGATAGTCTTACACGTTCCTTACCGTGCCCGCAAAGGCACTTACCTAATCGTCTATTATACAAGCGGGAGGGTTCTGCAGCTGCTGTGGAGCTGACCTTTGCCCTCCTGGTTCGTCTCCTATAGCCCATCCCATGACTATCTTCGTCCAGGGTTTCCCTTTCTTTCCTAGACCCCTTAGCGATTGTTATCTTTGTTAGAGGTTGCTTAATGGTCACGGCCCATTACTTTTGAGCCCTTTTTTTTCGGGCCCCCGATTATATGAGTGGTTGTTCAAAAAGGTTAGCTAGGGCAACAATTCCGCCCAAGCATCACAACTGTTTCACCCCCTTCTTTCCTAGCCCATCGGGTACCTAGCCCTTGACGCCGTCACTCCCCACGGCCACCTAATGCTTTGGATCTCACACGACCAAATCCTTTACTGTTCCAAGTGAATCCCACGACCCCCGAATCCGTCCACACCAAAACCCAACCTGTTATTACCGGTTGCCCGCTTCACCAGACCGACTCTCTCAACCCCCACTGCCCGGAATACCGATAAGCAAGGCGTAGTGACACTTGACCCCACCCCTGTATCTATGTATTTTGTTCTATGGTTGCCAGGAGGGCCTTCTGAGAGGTGCTTGGGGTAACTGTTCTTGCGGGGGATGGTAGGGCGGGGGGGGGAGGAGATATGGTGAGGAGAAATGCCTAGAGTGTTGTTTTATGGTAGATCGGGTGTAGGTCTTCTCACAGCCCACAACTCAAAATAAATTTGAATGAGACTACCTCGCTTTACACTTGCCCCTCCAGGCTTACCACTATACCCAAATTCTATATGATATGTCTAGAGGGGGGGCAACAGATGCGTAAAAATGTCTAGGAACTTCCGACATAGGTTCTTTCTTCTCCAATTCCTAGCGCTGGAGCAGTGTTCCTCCTGGTAAGTACCTAAAGTCCCAAAGAGCTCGGTCTGGGAGTGAGCGATGACTACCTATCCTTTATTTGCAAGCAGCTGAACCATGCAGGGCGCTCCCACGATAACATATCCTATCTAGATTCCGGAAATACGCGGCAGAAACACCCGAACCCGGCATTCGTTACATAGTTTCCCGACCCCGTAAGCCCTCCGAAGTGCTTACCCAGCTCCAAAACCAGTACACCCAGCCCGATCAAAGCAACACCCTATTCATCCTTACCATAGGAAATCAAAGATGAACGGTTGGGGAGGGAAGATTAAACTTTCAATATTGAACTCCGAATCGTACATTATACTTGTTAGAAGCTGGTGCCGACAGCCCACTCATGGCCTTCAGGATTATATAGGGTTTCACGTGCTCCATGGGCAGGCCCCAGAATTCATGTATCTCTCCTTAAATAGCCGGCATCGGACCCAGGAAGTACTATACTCCAAGTCATTCCCTCACCCAAGAGCTATTCCCACAATATTATCCACCCCCGATGCACAAAGTTACTATACGATTCCACCGTCCAGATCACTCCCGGCGTGATTCCATATAGTGCCTGCTTGAGAGGATACATGCGCTTGCAACACCAGAGATCAAATCACGGAATTAACACGTTATCGATAACTTTTAGTAAACTGATACCTACGAAACAGGGGGGATGAATAACGAACTAGGAAGATC